GGCCCCACAGATTTATGAGGATTCATCTTATGAAGCAGGTCCATAGCCATTTCCTCATGGATTATGCAGGTCCTATTCTGTTCCTCATGCCTTTATTCCAGCTCAGGGGGCTCTGTGCACAGAGAACAACTGGTCTTGCTGTTGAAGACTGGGGCAAAGAAGGCATTAAGCACTTCAGCTTTTTCCATATCGGTGGTCACTGCTCTTCCCTCTGCATCCAACAAAGGATGGAGATTCTCCCTAGACCTCCTGTTACTGTTAATGTATGTATAGAAACTTTCCTTGTTATTCTTCACCACAGTGGCCATGTTTAGCTCTAGGTGGGCTATGGCCTCTCTAATTTTCTCCCTGCACAGCTTCACTTCTTGTTTGTAATCTTCACAACTTGTCTGCCCCCTCTTCCATAGACCATAAACTTTCCTTTTGTTCCTAAGTTCCAGACAAAGCTCTCTGTTCAGCCAGGCTGGTCTCCTTCCCCATCAGCTCGTCTTCCGTGACTTGGGTTTAGTCAGCAGTTCCTGCACCTTTAAAATTAATTCCTTAAAGTATGCCCAGCCTTCCTGGGCTCCCATGCCCTCCAGAACAGCCTCCCAAGGAACTCTCTTAGCCATGGACCGGAAGAGACCAAAGTCAGCTCTCTGGAAGTCCAAGGTGGCAATTCTACTGACCCACCTCCTTACTTCACCAAAAATGGAGAACTCCAACACTACATGATCACTTTGTCGTAGACAGCCTCCAACAATTACATCCTCCACAAGACCTTCTCTATTAACAAGCAGCAAGTCCAGCAGTGCACTTCCCCGCGTGGGTTCCCTTGCCATCTCTGTCAGGAAGTTACCTCCCACACACTTCAGGAACCTCCAGGACTGATCCCCCTCTGCTGTATTCTATTTCCAGCAGATGTCTGGGAAGTTAAAATCCCCCATGAGAACAAGGGGTAGAGTCCGTGGAACTTCGCCCAATTGCCTGTTTACAGGTATCTTATCTATTTCTTCATCCTGGTTGGGAGGTCTGTAGCAAACTCCCATGATGATGTCTATATTATTGGCTCTTCCTTTGATTCTAATCTGTAAGCTCTCAACCCTGTCATCATATTGATTAATTTCTAAGCATTCATATCCCTCCCTAACATGGAGGGCCACTCCACCACCTCTCCTACCTCGTCTGTCTCTTCTGAAAAGCTGGTATCCACCAATTGTAGTACTCCAGTTCTGTGAGTCATCCCACCACGTTTCTGTTATGGCAACTATATCATAGTTTTCCACCTGCACAATGGCCTCCAGTTCCTCCTGTTTGTTACCCATGCTGCGTGCATTAGTGTAGATGC